CGGGTGCTCCCGATCCCGACGTGAGAAATACAATATTTGGGCTGTTGGTTGGCGCAATAGACTGCAAATATAGAAACATCAAATTCCCAGTGCTTTGGTAAAGGTCAGGCTGCCTTGCAGTTGGAGCTGAACAAGACGGGCCGTTGGTTCCAGCCCTGACGCAGAATTGCGACACTCGGCCTGCATTTGATGGCCTGTTTGAGGGCTGAGGCGATCAATTACCGGCGCGCTGGGCCCGGGGAGGCATCCGGGCGACGGCCAGAGCATCCAACACTGCTTGCTGCGTGATTGATTGCAACCCAAGATCATCCTGGAAGGGGAAAGGCTGGGGCTGGCTATCGATCATGACTCGAGGGATGTTGAACTATTGAACGATGTGCGTGTTGTGCGTTTCATGTGTGGGCAGCAAGGCGGTTAATAAGGACTTGTTGGGCTGGGCTGCACGGCATGTTGGCGTGTTTGTCCTGTCTGCGCAACAAATGGGTGCTCGCAATCACAATCAGACAGATTGACCCGCATAGTAACATTCGAGCTCGAGTTCCCCTGTTGGTCATGAAGATCGAGCGCGCTGGGTTGTGGGACGGATCTGCACTCCGTGGTAGGACAGGACAGTCAGGTTGAACAGCATTCTCGTATTGGAGTTGATCTACGGCGAGGAGAATACAATCTGCATGAGCTAAAGCCTTGAGTTATGCTACAGACCCTGGAAGGTTGTTGGCGCGGTACAAACCCAACCCCAGAGACTCCAGTGTGGTTCAACATGAACGATTGTGGTGGAATAAGTCAAGGATAGCTGTTTTAAATAACCCCTGAAATAAACATTGCGCTTGCTCTGGAATTGATAAGTGAGATGAGGAGCATCAAAAGTAGTCCATGTTGGCCTTGAAAGGGCTCCGGTTAATGAATCTCGGGCAATCATTGGATTGTTAATTATAATCATGCTAGAGCTGGCGGTGTCCCGCGCCGCCAATCTTTCTGGTTTTGAAGTGCAGATCCAGTGAAGTTGCCTGCAGAATTGCTAGTGGTTGTACAAGCGCAAGCCCGCATGATCCCACATGACGAGGATGCTACTTAGTGATGTCGAATCCGTCTGCTGTGTTTTAGAAGATGGCCCTCGTATTTGTGCTTTAGCGCAAGGATACCGTATCAGTTTGAGTGGCTCACGTAACATTTCTGTGATCGTAACGACTTGGTCGGTGAGGGGAAATGCTGTGCAACCGTTCAGTGTCCCGAGATTGTGCAAGATTGTTCCGAGCCATGGCATCAGCCTGTGGAAAACTATTTTCCTCCCCCCCCCCCCCCCCCTCCTTCGTCGTTTCTTTCCTTTCCGTTGTCCTTCGGCACGTCCCTCTCAAAAGTTTGATTCTACAAGGCATCAAAGTCAGCATACGAACAAAACGACATCATGCCGGGTTTCGTGCCGCATTGGGGAACCACGGAAAAGTTTCACCCCCTTCATGGACTTGTCATCATATTCTGACTTGACATGCAACATCCACGAGCACTGTGATTTCCAGTGCGACCCTAGCCGTACCCTCATCATTATAGCCTTCCTGTGGACGCCCATTCCTCAACAACAATCTGGCGGTGGAGGTAGCGGCTAAGGTGATGGCGATAGCGAAGGTGATGGACATGCAAGTTCTTACAGCGGCGGGGGCCGGTCACGAGATCGACGGATTGAAACCCCGAGTTTGCTGCAGATGGTACCTTCGAGGGATCTCAGCATGAAGACAGGAGTTTCGAGGATGGTACAAAGGAGGATGTTGAGATAAGCAGACGTGGGGAGACAGGTGGTCGGGAGGAGAGCTATGAAAATTGCGAGGGACGCACCCGTCAATGCAACATTGGAAACGAAGAAGTAGAGGACATCAAAGCGGGCGAGGGCGCCGAAGAGGGAAGGGGGTGGTATGGTGGCTCCGAGGATGGAAGTCGTGGTGAGATCAGCGATGAAGAAAGAACAAGTGAAGAGCGGGAGAGTCGAGATTTCACAAAAGATTATGAAGACGATGGCAGTTGGGAAGGTCAGACGGGAGAGGACATTGGTGGGAGCAGCAGCGGACATGGAGGGGAAGAGCACGACGCCATCCTACCACAACTGAGATACATCCTAACCCGACCTTTCCCGGGTATAATCTACGTTCCAGAACGAGCCGAACTGATCCTGCTTGACGGCTCCTTTCCAATGTTTACATACGATTCCCTTCCAGACATTAGCAACTCATCGAGCCACATTCGACTCCTCAAGATCAAACCAGCCATTTTTCTCGCCGATATCCTCGACTGCGAGCTCATTTCGGTACCAATAGTCTCACCAGAAACGCCCCCATTTGACGCACTTTCGTATTGTTGGGACCTCGAGCCGTGGTGCCCCGAGACGAAGTGTTTTCCGGTGCGCGAAGGCGAACCAAGGAGCATTGTCGTTAATGGGATGCAACTCCCAATACAAGTCAACCTACACGAGGCACTCCACCGCTACCGCCGGCTTGGCTGCGGCATCTTCACAAGTAGCGGGGGTTCCAGGTGGAATGGAAAGGCAGAGTACATCTGGGCGGATGCTATCTGCATAGACCAGAGCAACACGCGCGAGAAGAGCACGCAAGTGGCCAGAATGGACCAGGTCTATCGGCGCGCAAGACGAGTGTTTGTCAACTTGGGAGACGTTCCAGATACATGGTTTCCAGCCCTGGAACTGATGGTCTTGATTCGGAGCATACTCGGAGATGGTTTTTACGACGCGATTCAAGTTGACAATTACTTCGCTGAAAACAGGACTTTACTATTCGACCAAGCCCGGGTACCGCCCGAAGGCCATCCTGTTTGGCGTGAACTTGGCTACCTGTTCCTCATGCCCTGGCTAAATCGCACGTGGGTCTTGCAAGAGATGGTTCTTCTAGTCAACAGACCAGTCGCCATGTTTGGAAGGTTTGGATTCGACCTCAAGCTCTTACTCAAGCCATCGCTCTTGTTGTGGTACCAGGACTCCCCGGGACTGGGAAGCAACAAGTGGGGAATAACCCACAGACACATAGAGGCGCTAGCGCGTTCATGTCCAAGTGGTTTGCGAGGGAGGGATACCATAGTAAGGGAATGTTTCCTTGCTTCGATGCGATGGGGACAAGTGCCGGGGAGCCCACGGCCTATGAGGCAACGGATCCGAGGGACAAAGTTTTTGGCCTCATGTCCATCATATCTCCAGATGAGAGGATCGAGACGGATTATTCTTTATCGGTAGAGGATGTCTACTCGCGGACGGCAAAGCAAATTGTCGGCCAGGGGCGTTATTCTGATTTGCTTCAGCATGCGGGCCTTGAAGGGCGTGTCCAAGAAAGTACACTCCCGACATGGGTGCCGGATTGGCGAATACAGCGCTGGACTCGAAGTGCTTGTTTCAACGAGTGGTACGATCTGAAAGAACAACTTCGAGACATGATGGTCGGAAAATCAGTAGTCGAGGAAACCGGCACCAAAGGACTCGTCCTCCATATTTCGGTCTCTTTTATCGACAAAGTTGAAGAGATCAGCAACACCTTCTCCGATCTAGGAGGTCTGAAATATATAAACCTCCCCCGAGGTCTAACCGGAGACATCAAGTTAGCTTACGAAGCTTTTCTCGGAGGGAACAGAGATTCCGCATGCTATGAGAAGTATCGGGATGTGGACGACGCATTCGCAAGGACAATATCTGCGGATTCTTTAAAACCAGGCGGTCGGCGGAATGCGTGTGTCATACAGTACCCGAGTGAACTACTACGCTCCATTTTGCTGAGCCCGGATGAACAACTAACCTTTCAAATGGTTGACGGCCTGTTCTCGGAAAGGTCAGCTACCTGTTATGTGTGCACCGTGCTATTCATGATGGAAGGAGTTTCATCGTAACAAGGACGGGATATATGGGACTTGTACCGTCCGTTTCTTTGCCCGGGGACGAAATTTTTATGCTACGCGAGCTTCCCTTGCTATGAATTTTGAGAAGGGCGGCACAGGAAGTGATGGATTCACAACCTTACTACCATTTTGTTGGCTGTGCGTATCTTCACGGAGCTCGTCTTGAGCATGGGGAAACCCCGAGGTTTGCGAAGTCGAAACCTGAATTCAGGGGAGTTTTTACTCATCTAGGTCCAAGTCAACGGACGCGCTGTGGAGTTACAAAGTCATCCCATGCTTGCAGTCATCAGGTGGAAGCTTGTGAATAGACAAGATATGAGGGCCATACAGGATTATACGTGCTTTCAAGGTGCTGAAAACTTGAAAATACCGGGTATGGAAGTCATTATCTCAAGAACCTTTAGTACTTGCCTCGTCGTTCCAAACCACTAACCTACCTACCTACTTGCAAGTGAGCATAATAATAGTTTATCCCACTCTATTATTGAAGGCAGCGGGCCGATCGCGAAGTTTGATTTAATATTTGCGCCGACATGATGACCATCAACTCCATGTTTCAGTGGTCTGGAGGAGCCCGCTTTTGCTGTGGGGGCCGTAAAGGGCCTATAGACTGGGACACAGATAGCGATGTGGTACCCGGATGAGTTATGATAATGGAATACCCTGTAGCGCAATGTGCTGATGAATCGAGCAACGCTGCCAACGTTACCCCTGTTGTCTGGTTGAATCCACCCCAAAAGCATCCAGCTCCCGCAGGAGAAAAAGACATAAATCTTCAACGACTTACGTTCTGCCACACATATACACGAATGTTCGTGCTTATTTCTGGGTTCTTGTGACCTGGAGATGCCATTGGAGGACCAATATCGCCATGTCCGTGGCGATGTTGGGGACACTTCAAGTTGTCAGTCGCCAATATTCAGCTGCATCGATGAGTTGCTGATGCCGGCCGAGAACGCCGTCCCCTCCTCGCCCTCCGCAAAAGTCCAAGATTGGATTGGCCGTTCGCATCTCAACGAGCAGCTCCCCAAAACAAGAAAATCAGGTACCCGAGGATGTCTTCATGAAATAGCTACGATTAGCGAGGATAGGAAAAAAGAAAAGCAAAAGGATATCTCTCCCGCCGGGAATTGAACCCGGGTCCCGAGCGTGATCCGTGAAGATGACAAGCTCATATACTGACCACTATACTACGGAAGAATTGCAGATGTGGACATCTGTCGTAGTTGTGATTGGATGTCAGAATGGAGTCTGACTCTGCCCCATATAGTCAACCGAGACTAAGTACTATCTGCTCCACTTAATTATATGCATCGCCCCTTGTTCCTCGCTTGGCGGTTCACTTGCGATTGTTGTCATAACTTCTCTTTAATCCGGGGCGCTTGGTTAGTTTGAAAATAGTTTATTTCTTCTGTTCTCGAACTACCAACGATAAACTCTTTCAACTACGCTCATGCTAGTTGTAGGTTGTGTGGTGATTGCACGCCTCTTCTCGTGGGAAATATTCCAGCACTAAACATTCCTGGTGGATCTGCTTGATGCTTGTGTTCATACTTCGTACCTAGTCCTTAGAGCTATCGCAAACGGGTTGAAACAGGATCGAGACAGAGTCTCCCAAGACCATCCAATTCAGACCAATGAGAAGCATGTGCACGCCAATTAAGCCGATGCTGGCTCTGAAAATATGGGCTACTCCCCTGAATCATGATCACGCTTAGACAGTCAAATTATCTGATGGTGGGTTTGAAGACTGGATTTTGCGTAAGTTCAAGGTTTAGTTATGATTCGTTCCAGCAGCCAGGGAGTTTTGGAGCTGGCTGGCGTGCTCTGTGATAGGGTTGAAGTAATTATCATTGAGCTCAGCAACGTCGATTTCTTAGCATCGTGTTGGTTCCCCCTCGCCATCGTAGGTCAGAGACGGCCCAAGAAACAGTTCCCGGTTGGTTGGACGAGTACTTGATTGATTACCAGGCGGGGAATGTCCGAGAGTGCATACAGCAATTCCGGGTAAGATGTGGGAGAACCAAGGCCAGGACTGAACGCTCGACGTTAAATGCCATTCCATCCGCCCTCTCTCCGGCGCATAATGACGAATCCTTCCACATTCACTCAGTCTATCCTCTGAGCTCCTTTTCACACCGGACGTGCGTTGGATTCCGCCATGTCCCAGTCGACATCCACGTATCCCGCCTACGAGGCCATCAGCGGATCCCCGGATCCACCCAACATCACTCATGACTTGATGCGTCTTCTTTGGGATCTTGAAGGGCCAATTGCCACATCCATCCGCGTTTTGGACGACCCAACCAACCCATTCTCCCCGCATCAGGCGTATCAGACGGCCCTGGACCCCACTCCGGAATTTCACCCGATTTCGAAATCTCCCATCACCGAGCCGAAGGTCTCGTCTCTCAATGTTTATGTCTACCATCTCGACGACTGGGCAGAATGCTGGGAGATCATCCACGAGGTCCACTACGACGATGCCGGCCAGGAGTTTGAACCACATGTTCCCGAGGGGTCCGAGTATCTCACCCCGAGACTCATCCGCTGCTGCGGCACCGAGAGGCCGAAACCACCTTCACCAGTAGTGGTGAGGGCTGCGACGCATCCGTTTGTGACCGTCCACGACTACGTCACGACCGTGCACCCGTGGCTCATGGGCCTCAAGGACGATATTCGACCGGCGATGAGCGCGATGGAGGGCAGGCAGCTGACCGAAGACGCGATACTCGTCGTAGACCCGCTCGTGCCGGACGAGATCAAGCTTCTCTACTCCCCGCCGTCGGGTTCGGGCGTGCGTCAGATTAGGGCAGAGATGGCAGGTCGCGTCCAAGTTTGCAAGACAGCCGCGACGAAAAGATTGGAGTTAGGGAAGAACCCAGTCGCCGTGCAAGCGCGGGCCGCCGACCCTGTGGACGCGGAGACAGCCCAGGCGATGTGGGTGAACCAGCTTGGGTCCGTGAACTGGATGCGGCGTGCTCGGAAAGCTCGAGACGCGCATTCGCTCTTCTTAATGCTCGACAAGATTGAGGGGTTCATGTTTCCATACTTGTCGCACTGTGGAGGAGAACAAGATATATGTTTGGCATGGAGTGTACGTGAGGATTTCGTAGTCTCCGATCAAGCACCAAGCGATGATCATAAACCCCCTGCGCTGGCTTTTATCTCTATTTGTGGATCATTGAAATACGTAGGTAGTAACACGATTCAGCCCTTAAGTAAAGTCTAACGTTACCTAAACTAGCTTACAGCCTCCATGTCAACAATCTTCGAGCCTAAGACGGTCGTTTCGACGAAGCATTAGAAGTGCTTGCAGTTGGCGAAGAAGTGGTGGATGGTTTCGAAATACGTGGTCTAGAAGCCATGTGGAAAGTCGTCACTGCAGAGTGCGAGGTAGTTGAAGAAGATGCGATGGATGCTGAAGAGGATGTCTTCGAGGTTGAGGAGGTCGCTTTTGAGGTTGAGGAAAACGCTTTTGAGGCAGAGGAAGGATTGTTTGCGCCGCTCGACAAGCTGCTGAGTGATATAACGACGCCGTTGGAGCCGATCCCGCATTGGCCGTACTTGGCTTGACTGTGAACACGGTCAGCTCCTTGCAACTGAACCTAAGGTAGAAGACGGGAATTTGACATAATTAGCGGCGTGTCAACATACCAACCGTCTCCGCAATGCTTCGCCTCCGCCCCGCAGAGTCCATCCTTGCTGCAGCATGGCCCGCGCCAAACCGAGCATGTGTAGCCATGATTGGCAGGACCGCAGGTCCCATCGGGCGTCGTGCCCTCGAGCCACGGCACGCCACCCGGGTCTCCCGCGATCCTGCCCGGGGCACCAGCAAAGGAGCAGTTCCCCGACTCACACTTGCCCTTGTCGCAAAAGTTGGGGCCTGTACCGCACTTCCCGTCAAAGTTGCAACAGTCTCCCCATTTGCCGCCGCACTTGAGACCACCGTGGTTCTGACCACAGCTGGCACCGTCGATGCTATAGACGTCGGCTCCTTCACAATGCCCCTCAAAACAAGTGCCCGGTCTGCAGTCCTCCCTGTGTAGGTAGACATGGAGGTCCTTAAGCCGCGGTTTGTCTGGGGGGGGAATGTCCGTAGCACTGGGGTTCAAGGTCAAACTTACGCATTGCCACCGCACTTCCAGGTCTCTGAGTTGCAACACTGACCTTGACTCATCCCGAGGCACGTCGCGTTGTTGTGCTTTGGGCCGCAGAGGCCATCATACGCCCTCACAGGCTCAATGACTGCCATGCCGATGATGTGTTAGCTAGGTAGGGAGTTAGAATTACTGACTCTCCGTCCGATCGTGGCAAGGTCTCTCCGTCATCGCCAATTTCACTTACATCCACCAAGGCAGTACATGGTATCTGGCTTGATTGTTTTGCAATTCTTGTCGACGTCTGGATTCAGGATATAGAACTTCTCAATCGTTATCTCCCACCTCAGGGCGAGCTGCATGCACGTGTAGTAGTTGACAGTGGCGTCAGTCCAGTCATACCGACGGCAGTTCACCTGTCCCGGAGACAGCTGTGGGCGGTTGTAGATAATTCCTGCCTCCATCGGCTCCATACCTGGAAATCGGAAGCGTTACGGGCCAGCCTCGGCCGCATATCCCCATGTCGCGGGCTGGCATCCATTCCCTGCTGCTGGATTCAACAGCACAGAAAATGCACCAAGAGCGAGTGGGAAAAGACGACCAGGCGTCATTATCGATTCTGATGAAGCTATCCGCTGCCGATCTTGTGGCGACGGGAATGGACTCTTAGCTTGTCGATGGAATGGATTGTATCTGCCAAAGTGGTATGATTCTAGTCAAACTTGGGCGACATATTCATATGCTTGCTATTTCACCGTTGCTGTAGAATCTAGTGCATTGCCTCGGGTAGTTCCCGCGGGCCAGAGGGGGCAAGAAAAATGATAGGCCCGACACAGCTGGTTAAAGTCGTGGAAATTACCTGAGGGGTGCGCTATCGCTTGTCGTTGGTCCACCGCGGCGGCGTCAAATCATGCCGGCGATTGTCTCAGGGGCTTAGGGGCATGGTAAATTTATCCGTGCGTTCATGTCGTTGGACCCGGGTAGGACGCTCGCACGGCTTAGCACTGTATTATTTGACCGCCCCCGATGGACCAACACGAGGCCTCAATATGTTGGACAGGCGAGGCGTATAGCTTGGGTCAACATGAGGTCAACATGAGGCCATATTGATTGCATCCAGCCTATATGCAAGGTCATATGCAATCTAACCCTAAGTAAAAGATTGCCACTCTGCGTCCAGCGTGTCATTCGTAGATGAGACCCAGCAGTTCGGGTCTGCCGCGAGAGCTGGCCATGGTCATGAGTTTAAATTATTTACTTTACCAAATATTGGTACGAAGCCCGTGTCTTCATCAACAAATCATATAATCCGAGAGCATGTACTCTCAGACACGGTTGGAGTTGTGCTTCCCCAGCGCTAACATATGTACTCCATCATAGGAAAGTATCAAGACATCTTTATGGTGCTCCTGGGCTAGTCGGGTAGCATATTGAAACCTCCAGCTGTTAGTGGCGCTCGTCTCTTGAGTGGGTTCAACCGTTTCATACCTATCCATCCCAGTTTGCCGAACCTTTTTGAGTACCCTTGTTACTGACTCTCACCGGTTTGCAAACCCGGCTGGCAAGCGGCCCTGGCATCCATGTTGGCCCCATACGCTTGCAGCTGGAGATGAATTAAGTCCATGTTCAACCGGACTTTCTGGACGATTCTGGATGTTCAGGAACGGAAAAGCCGAGACATACGAGTTGCCGGAATGTAAGGTAGGGACGTGGCGAGGTAAAGGCAACAGAGGTAGTAGATGTTGCCATATTTGCTCTGCAACCGCAGTTGAGTCAAATTTTGAGTCGGCCAATGAAGCCGGACAAGAACAGCGATATTACAAACGGCAATGAACATTGAAGGCAATGTTCGGGACACGGGGCACAAGGGAGGGAAATATTTACGCTGGTATAGAGTCAAGTTTCCTCGACGGAACTAGTAAAGACTCTAGCAAGCGTTAGAAACTCCACGATTGCCATTGAATTTCCCTTACGTCCTACGAAGTTTCCTCACTTGATCCGCTCGAGATGGGTCCGCATACTTGGGCAGAGCTTCCCGTGCTCTTCATGTTGGTCCAGCTCCTGTTCTTCGCAAGCATCATCCAAGCCCAGTACATCCAG